CAGAGTGTGTCACAGCAGCGAGGGGACCCACCAAAGTCTACTGCAGCCAGGAGAGGGCCTGCCAGAGCCTGCTGTCTTGGCCCACTCATTGAAAAAAATGTGGGTGCCTGGGCATCCAGGGCCCTGCAGAGATGGCACTCCTGCCACCATGAGAAGTTATACATATATATCTCTTTTTAAATAGTTTTGCATTTTAAATCTAATAAAGGTAAGGGAAAGGGAAAGGACCCCTGGACGGTTAAGTCCAGTCAAAGGTGACTATGGGGTTGCGGCGCTCATCTCGCTTTCAGGCCGAGGGAACCAGCGTTTGTCCACAGACAGCTTTCCAGGTCATGTGGCCAGCAGGACTAAACCACTTCTGGAGCAATGGAACACTGTGACAGAAACCAGAGCACACGGAAACGCTGTTTACCTTCCTGCTGCAGTGGTAACTATTTATCTACTTGCACTGGTGTGCTTTCGAACTGCAAGAGCTGGGACAGAGCAACGGGAGCTCACCCCATCGTGGAGAATCAAACCACCAACCTTCTGATCACAAGCCCAAGAGGCTCAGTGGTTTAGACCACAGTGCCACCCAATAAGAGACCCAAATGATATACTGTTGCTTTTTTGAGAATTATTCTTTCCCCTCCCTCTTGCCTGCCTTTTGCTGCCACTCTTGCTGGAGAATGGAAGCAAGAGCTGCCTGAATAAACATAAAAGATGCTTAAATGCACTGGTCACTTACATTGACCATGGAAAATATGTACCTTCTCAGTTTATGTGCCTCATTCACGCTGTAAAGTGGGGGGCGGAGGACCTTTTCTGAGGGTCACGCTGCCTCATGGACAACCTTTCAGGGACAATATGCCAGTGGTAGGTAAGATGAGATGCATAAGTCAGAAACGACCATTTCAGGGAGCACTGTTGCACTCAGGTTCCTTTTGCAGGTTTCCCATGGGCGTGTGGTTGGCCACTGTGGGGGGAAAAAACCACCAGTTATAGACTAAATGTGTGCTTTGCCTGATCCAGCAGGGCTTGGCTTATGTGCCAGAGGCAAGGTAGACAGGGCCCACCTGTGTGTAGTAGGATAGATTCCAGCCATACAAAGTCAGAGGGTTCTGGAGATACACATGCATCTCTCCATCTATGCATTCCACCCAGGTAGAAGCAGTCAAGCGCAAGACTTGTGAGGGGATATGGCCTGAGAGAGTCTCAACAGCTGGATGGTGATCACTTAATCGGCCCCCATACCTGATTCCCCATCACCAACTACATAATGCCTATAAACATCAAAAGCTTGTATTCTCTGGCTCCAATAAATGTTGGAAATGTAAAGAAAAAGAAGGCACATCTTTTCATATGTGGTGGAACTGCAAAATAATTAAAAATTATTGGGATATGATTTATAATGAAATGGAAAAATGTTTAGGATAACTTTTGTTAAAAGACCAGAAGCCTTTTTATTAGGCATTTCAGGTCAAGATATGTCAAAAGCGAAGAAGAAATTATTTATGTATGCTACGGCAGCGGCCAGGATATTGCTAGCCCAAAGATGGAAAAGCGATGAAATACCAACTAAAGAAGAATGGCAAAAAAATTTAATTTGCTGTAATGGTGACGCTAAAAGAAAGACTTAGAGGCAAAGACAATAGAGACTTTTAAAAAGACTGGGAACCATTTATGTTGTATCTACAGAAACAATGTAAAGAAATGGACTCACTAGCAGGGTTTGAGTAAACACTTACAAAACAAATACAGAAAGTACAAAGAGGATGTTGAAATGATAAGAGAATAACAATATTTGATTCAAAGAACTCTCAATGAAGATATAATAAAACAAGCAGGGGAAGTTAATACGTAAAAAACCAGAAGAGGAAGTTGAGGTAAGTTGGGGGGGAGAGAGGATCTGGGGAATTGTATTCTTATTTTTTTGTTATCGGTTACGTTATTATTATGATAAAAATGAAAATAAAAACTATTTTAAAAAAAGAAGGTTGTATTCTCTGTGGTGCAGTCATATGGGCAGATGTCCTATGTGAGCATCAGATGGCTCAGCAGATAGTGAACCAGCTACGTGAACCTGAGGCTACCGAGTCAGATGGCCTGTGAAGCATCATAAAGACATAGCTGTCAACTTACAGATTTGAAAATAAGGGACCAGCAGCCTTGAAAATAAGGGATCAGCAGCCAAAAAAGGGATTTTCCAAGCACAGGTATGTTCACCTTCTGAGCCCCTCCAAGTCTAAGGCAGAAAGCCCAGCCAGCAGCCAAACAAAGCTTCAAGCGGTGGTTTCCACAGTGCAGCAACCCGACAAAGGGTATGCAGCAAGGAAAACCTCCGTCACCTCTCCGCTGGGAAGCGCTGAGCAAAGGCGAGTCCCCAGGCAACGTGGCCGATTTGATCGGCACAAGGCATGCAAGCTCCACCCCCTAGTCGTTCTTAGACTCCTTATTGGCTGAGCAACGCAGCCAAGCAACACAGTTGGAGCCTCCCCTCCCTGGCTGGCAGGGAGGGAGGGAGAAGAGCTGCTTCCTTTGAAACCCGGGAAATTTAAGGGACATCATCAATAAGGGACAGCAGTGGGACACAGTGCTGGGATAAGGGACTTTCCCGCCAAATAAGGGACAGTTGACAGCTATGCATAAAGATGAACTTTACAAGAGATATAAAACAGGGAATTTCAAGCATCTTGGGCCACAAAGGAGTTCCCATCTCAACCTCTGGTCTTAGATCTTCCATCAGCTAGGAGGCAGGTATCTGTTCTGGAGGTGGATTGCCCATCCGACCCAATTTGCTACATGAACTCCCAAGAAAGTAACTCATTAGCAAAGATCTCCAGGGCAAATTTCACATTCATTCTGCTTATGATGCGGTCAGTTGGGTAGCTGATGTACAGAAGTCTCAAATGACTCATCAGGTGCTCTGCTGCTGCCTACAGGAACTTCTCTTGACCCTTTTGACTGACCCACAGAAGTACAGCCACATTCCAGCAAGGTGGAGTAGACAGAGTGCTATACAAAGACTGAATCAGCCCCCGAAACACACCAGAAATCATAGGAGTGATGTGAGGATTTAAAAGTGGGGGGTGGGGGTAGCATAAGGATCCCTGAACTACCTGTAGGAATGGCAAGATAAAACATGTAATAAATATAGAAGAAGCAGATTAGACTGAGCTAGATAGGGCAAAGACATGTGGTGATGGAAATTGCTTTTCAACAGGAAGCAATCAAGAACAACTTCACAGAGCATCTCTGTCTCCCTTTTTTAAAAGGAAAACTGGTAACCCAGTGCACACTGTGAATTGTCCGGCAAATAGGTTTTATAGGAGCAGGGAACCAACGCAACAGAAGACAAAAGGGGGTACAGCAAGCCAGACAGTTGCATCAGTCTCAGTCTACATGCTCAGTATGGAACATTCAGGTGGTTTATGGACCACTCCTTTTCATTTCGTTGAACATCCATTCATTGTGATCTTTTTGAATGCAGATGGGGAAATGGAGGTGGGAGAGAGGTGACACAATTAGCAACCAGAATGAAAGCAACAAACCACTAAGGATAAACATTTCTTCAATTCAGAAGTACAAAGGAGCTGTGTGTCAGAAGATGGCATTTCTACCTTTATGGACTTGGAAACAATGTGTGTACATGATTCTTATTTGCACCAAGTGTTAAGTGTATGCAGAAAGCTCGGCACAGAACATGCATAAGGCCCACATGTTCACTCCTTATCAGGACACCAGCACTGCTAGTCACTTGTATGTTTCATCCCTAGCAGTGAAATTAGGCGTTTCTAAGCTGTATGGGATGCGGGTGGCACTGTGGGTTAAACCACAGAGCCTAGTACTTGCCGATCAGAAGGTTGCAGTTCTAATCCCTGCAACGGGGTGAGCTCCCGTTGCTCGGTCCCTGCTCCTGCCAACCTAGCAGTTCGAAAGCATGTCAAAGTGCAAGTAGATAAATAGGTACCGCTTCAGCGGGAAGGTAAACGGTGTTTCTGTGTGTTGCTCTGGTTTGCCAGAAGCGGGCTTAGTCATGCTGGCCACATGACCCAGAAGCTGTACGCCGGCTCCCTCGGCCAATAAAGTGAGATGAGCACCGCAACCCCAGAGTCGGCCATGACTGGACCTAATGGTCAGGGGTCCTTTACCTTTAAGCTGTATATTATGTATGTATGTATGTATGTATGTATGGGACGCAGGTGGCGCTGTGGTCTAAACCACTGAGCCTAGGACTTGCCGATCAGAAGGTCAGCGGTTCAAATCCCTGCGATGGGGTGAGCTCCCATTGCTCAGTCCCTGCTCCTGCCAACCTAGCAGTTCGAAAGCACATCAAAGTGCAAGTAAATAAATAGGTACTGCTCCAACAGGAAGGTATGTGGCGTTTCCATGCGCTGCTCTGGTTTCGCCAGAAGCGGCTTAGTCATGTTGGCCACATGACCCAGAAGAACTGTCTGCAGACAAACGTCAGCTCCTTCAGCCAGTAAAGCGAGATGAGCGCCGCAACCCCAGTGTCGTTCACGACTGGACTTAACTGTCAGAGGTCCTTTACCTTTAGCTTTAAGCTGTATGTAAAGGGTTTGGAGACGGAACTCACTAAAAACTTCTTGAAAGAGTGATTGTCCAATGTACATCTTCAACAGGACAGAGCAGAACTGTACCAGTTTCTAAAAATAGTCCACTGCATAAGAATTTGCTTCACATTCCTCTTGTACTACCTTGTTATTCTCATGATTTGCATGAACTGAGAGATAGGATGGTCATTACTAAAGCCCAGTTAAATCTGATGCCATATTCTGAACAAACCCATCCTTGTTGTTTAAACTGGGTTGAGGTCCCTGCACATATATTGACTTTGTATAATGCATTAGGAGAACAGTACTCGGGACAAGTTTTGGAGAGAAACGTAGGAAGCTGCCTTATACCAAGTCAGACCATTAGTCTATCTAGCTTAGAATTGTCTATCCTGGCAGGTAACAAACAGATCACCAGGGTTTCAGGCAGGGATTCCCAGTTCTATCTGAACATGCCAAGGATTGAACTTGAGACCTTCTGCATGCAAAGCAGATGTTCTATCACTGACCTGCATCTCTTCCTCAGAAAGAGATAAAGAGAGGTCTGATCATGTATCTCTAGTTTATCTACTGAGTTGATGAGACAGATGTGCCAACTTTACAGCTGTGTGTCAACAGTATTATTATTATTATTATTATTATTATTATTATTATTATTAAAATGTAAATAGCACCCTTCCTCAAAAGATCTCAGATGGTTCACAGAATAAAATACAAGACAAAATACATGCTTAAGAGAGAATGATGTGTCATCAGGGATATTCAGAATTTCAAGTTTGTTTTATGATTTTATTCATTTAAGTTTTATACATTTTTATTCAGATTTGGGTATTTTATTTTAACATGTCAAAAGAGGGACAACTTTTAAGGGACTTTTTGGGATTTGCTACATTTATTTGGTGTTTAAAGTCTGCTTGTGTTGCATATATTTTTAATGGGGTCTGAGTTCACGTCTATTGATACGGTTAAACTTTTGTTTTGTGGTGGTCCGATGACTGGATGAGAATAAATGAGTCTGATCTTATCAACCATGGGTGAGATTTAATCCAAGTCTCTCTTTTTCTAAAACAGGGAACTGGCACTATCAGAAGTGACAGCCTCAATGATCTCGATAAGAAAGGAAGTATAGCTAGCCAACACAAACAGTTAGAAACCCAGACACTGTAGTTAGGTGTTGGAATGATATACACCAATTGCTTTATGACTGCTCAGTTTCATACACTATTTAGAGCAAGAACTTTTATCAATTTTAGAGCTCAGAAGAAATAGCGGAAATTGGTCCCAGAGAGTCTTTCGGCTTCTCATGAAGAATAGAGTAACTCTTCTTAAATTATCTCCTCCTCCTGTAGCTGGCTGGAAAACTACCCAGTCATCCTTTATTAATTTGAAAATTACTTCATTTATTCTGTCCACAGCCACAGCTCCCCTTGCTAAATAACTTCAAACCGAGAATGGTCAAGAGTTCTTTTGCTTGGTATGCAGATCTGGTTACAAATTGGCCTATAATGAAGTTTCTCTCGTGAGTTTCTCTCTTGGGTGCCATTCATCAAGCCTGACTCCAACATGGTCTACATTAAAAACTACAGGTTTTCTACATTGACTAAAGCTTACTGGATTGGCCCCCTGAGCCACAAATACACTGGTATGATTCCCTGTGCACACTCAATTGAAATAAATGGGAGCACACCAGTTGTCTTGTGTAGACATCGTTCATTTTTTAGAAAGATTCTGCAGAACAAATTATCAGTGGCTAGTGCCTTCTGTCAATAATTATGGATGGTTTTTATATTATCAGTGTTATGGTTCTGTATATAAAGCTGGTAATTTATTGTGACACTTTATGCAGGAAACATCTCATCCTGTTTTTTTTAAAGAACTTACTGAAAATATTTCCTCGTTTAGACCACCCTGTTGAAAACCACTACAGTGGTACCTCTGGTTAAGAACTTAATTTGTTCTGGAGGTCCGTTCTTAAGCTGAAACCATGCTTATCCTGAGGCACGCTTTCAGTAATGGGGCCTCCTGCGGCGCGTGAGCCTCCGGCACGCGATTTCTGTTCATATCCTCGGGCAAAGTTCGCAACCAAGAGCAGCTACTTTCGGGTTAGCAGAGCTCGTAACCTGAAGCGTTCGTAACCAAAGGCATTCGTAACCAGAGGTACCACTGTATACCAGTTTTTAAACTGAATTTGTCACCCACAAACAATATTTCTAGTAGCGAGCCTGATGGGGAGTGGTATATGGGAAATGGCCCTTGCTATCTACTTCGTTTTAAAGAAAGCTTCTGGGTAGGTTTACTTTTATGTATTTCATACACAGTGACACAGTGACACCGTCATGGCAGTGTTGTAAGGTTGTACTTATAAGGTTAAATAATGAGTTGATCTAGCCCCAACAGCTTTGCATCTAAACCTTCATTATAGTAGCTGAACCAAAAGGCACCATTCATTGAGTTCAAAGTCCTGACCGGCTTGGGTCTAGGATACCGTAAGGACTGCCTGAGCCCTTATTTGCCATCCAGAGAAGTTTGCTGGTTGTTCCTTGTATTACAAGGTGGCTGCACTAGAAATCTCTCTCTCTGTGTCTGTGTGTGTATGTATAGACTGCCTTATATTGCGTCTCCACCCCCATTTTTCACCCCGGACACTGAGGTCCAGCTCCGAGGGCCTTCTGGTGGTTCCCCAACTGCGAGAAGCGAGGTTACAGGGAACCAGGTAGAGGGCCTTGTCTGTAGTGGCGCCCACCATGTGGAACACTCTCCCATCAGATGTCAAGCAAATAAACAACTATCCAACTTTTAAAAGACATCTGAAGGCAACTCTGTTTAGGGAAGTTTTTAATGTTTGATGTTTTATTGTGGTTTTAATATTCTGTTGGGAGCCGCCCAGAGTGGCTGGGGAAACCCAGTCAGATGGGTGGGTATAAATAATAACTCAGTTGTTGTTGTTGTTGTTGTTGTTAATGCAGGGTTTCCCAAACTTGGGTCTCCAGCTGATTTTGGACTACAACTCCCACCATCCCTAGCTGGTAAGACCAGTGATCAGGGATGATGGGAAAGTAGTCTGAAAACAGCTGGAGACCAATATTTGGGGAACATTGAATTGGTGGTATGTAAATGCTTTCATAGAGCCCGGGTAGCTAAGTCGGTAGAGCATTAGACTTTTAATCTGAGGGTCTAGGGTTCAAGTCCCTGCTCGGGCGTTCTTAACTTTAGGGACGCGGGTGGCGCTGTGGGTTAAACCACAGAGCCTAGGACTTGCAGATCAGAAGGTCGGCGGTTCGAATCCCCGTGACGGGGTGAGCTCCCGTTGCTCGGTTCCAGCTCCTGCCAACCTAGCAGTTCGAAAGCATGTCAAAGTGCAAGTAGATAAATAGGTACCGCTCCGGCGGAAAGGTAAATGGCGTTTCCGTGCGCTGCTCTGATTCGCCAGAAGCAGCTTGGTCATGCTGGCCACATGACCTGGAAGCTGTCTGCAGACAAACGCCGGCTCCCTCGGCCAATAAAGTGAGATGAGCGCAACAACTCCAGAGTCGGTCACGACTGGACCTAATGGTCAGGGGTCCCTTTACCTTTAATTGCTTTCGTAAAAAATAAAAAAATAAAATAAAAAACGTAATCAGTAGATGCTGTTCCTAATTTAATGTTTGATTGCTGTGTTTTAACAAAATAAAAAAATAAAAACTTCTGGTAGCTGTGTTTTAATTTGTTGGAAGTAGCCCAGAGTGGCTGGAGTAACCCAGTCAGATGGGCAACATATAACTCTCTCTCTCTTTCTTTCTTTCTTTCTTTCTTTCTTTCTTTCTTTCTTATTACTATGTAAAAGCAAAGACACTGGTAAACTGGCGCAAAGAAGGATATGTGTCCAGAAGATTCTGGTGCTGTGCAAAGTGAAGAAAATTTGTCCTTAATTTTATATTTGCCTTGGATCACGTGGTAGCCAGTGGTGGATTAAAACCTTGGTGGACCTTTTCTCTCCTCTCAATTGAAAACATTACTCTGGATAAAAATTAGTGCAGGAATATGTATTTGATAAGAATACGGAATGTTATTGGCAGGGCATGACAATGAAATTAGACAGACAGGCTGCATAGGCAGCTGGCTGATCCTACCACAGATTCATGGGATGATGGCCCTTGTGAAACAAAAATAACAGGATTTCAAAGAACTCCATTCCAGGTGTTGCACTCTTTTGTCACAACCAAGACTCAGGTGTAACCTCAATACCTTCTGGTAGCTAGCAATAGAATATGGGAGTAAATTTTTATTTTTATTTTTAGAAATGCATAGAATATGATAGGTGTCTATCATAAATTATTTTAAAGGGGGGAGGGGAAGCAGCCTTTCTTCAAATATTTTGGGTGAATTACAGCTTTCCCTTACTGTTACATACAGTGATAGTTATATTTGGCTAAAGCAGAAAATGTTCCTTCAATGGATGCTCAGCACATAAAATGATTTGGTTCCTTATAAGGTAACAATCAGGTTGGTTCTATTTACAGACTGCGTAATCAGCTTGTTACCTAGCAAAGGGACGATTTAGAAATTAAGAGCCATTTTAAAATATCCCATCCACCATAATCTATAATTGTCTGGGATAATGGATGATTGTTAATGTTTAAATGCATATCTGAAGAGGGATTCATCTACATATTTTAAACTAAGCATCAACATTTATACAAGAGGGGGACAGACAATGCCTTAAAATCACTCAACTCATGTCTTAATCATAGCTGTCAACTCTTCCTTTTTCTTGCGAGGAATCCTATTCGGAATAAGGGAATTTCCCTTTAAAAAAGGGGAAACGTTGACAGATATGGTCTTAATAGTATGGCTGGACATTGGACATACGGTACATTCATGTACTATTTTGCTCTAACTCGCAGAGGATCAAGTGGATTGGGGGGACACCCATTTTTTGTAGGTTTAAACAAATACATCGATCCAAAAACATATGCTACATGTTATGGCTTAATTTCTGACAAAAGGGTAGGGAGTTGAACTTGTCTGGAAAATCATACTTGGGCTCTTCCCCTGTCCACAGATGTGCAGAGAATAATTGGTGTAATTTTTTTTTAGGAGATGAGACAATGGCACTCTGCACACACGTAATGGTGCACTTTGCTAAATAAGTGCTGTAAAAGTCTTATTGTGATGAAAGCAGCAAGGTGAAAAACTGCAGTCCTACCAAGTCAAAATGTTACCAGTCACTACTGTAAATGTATTGGTGATGTCTGGGAGATCTTTTCAGTTATGGCTTCACTATTGTGGAACCACCCTCCCAGGAAATTTGTTAAATTTGTTAAGGGCTAAATCCGTTATTCAGATAAGCTTCTTATTGCCTAATCTATTTATGTTTTTATTTATTCCCCAGAGTGGCCAGATAGGTGGGGTATAAATATTATTATTATTATTATTATTATTATTATTATTATTATTCCCACACTTTCATAATGTATATTAGGGTGGCTTATAACAAAGAAATACAATAAAATCAGTCCATAACTAGTTCTAGTTGATTACTTAATTGCTTATATGCTGTCATATGTTGCCCTCTGCCTTGGGGATATAGTGGATGGCATTCAGCTAAGTTTTCCTTAGAGCTGACATGTTGAAATAAATGAAATGATCAAGTGGATTAATTTTGAAGGATCTACGCTAAATAAATCAGCTCCATCTGGTACACCAGCTGAGACCTAACGTGCCCACAGACTGTCTCACCAGAGTGGTACATGAGCTGGTTATCTCTCGCTTGGACTACTGCAGTGAGCTCTGCATGGGGCTACCTTTGAAGGTGACTTGGAAACTACAACTACAAGGTGACTTGGAAACTAATCCAGAATGCAGCAGCTAGACTGGTGACTTGGAGGGGCTGCTGGGACCATCCAACACCAGCCTTATAGGATCTTCACTGGCTCCCAGTACGTTTCCCAGCACAATTCAAAGTGTTGCTGCTGACCTTCAAAGCCCTAAACAGCCTTGGCCGAGAATACCTGAAGGAGCGTCTCCATCCCCCATCGTTCCAAATGCTGAGGTCCACCTCTGAGGGTCTTCTGGTGGTTCCCTCACTGCTAGAAGTGAGGTTATAGGGAACCAGGCAGAGGGACTTCTCAGCAGTGCAGCAGTGGTGCCCATCCTGTGGAATGCCCTTCCATCTTATATCAAGGAAATAAAGAACTACACAGCTTTTAGAAGACATGTGAAGGCAGCCTTGTATTGTGAAGTTTTTAATGTATGACATTTTATTATATTTTTATATGTGCTGGAAGCCACCCAGAGTGGCTAGGGAAACCCAGCCAGGGGTGGTATAGTAGTAGTAGTAGTAGTAGTAACTTTGCTGAGTAACACCCTTTGTTGACTCACTCATTGGTCAGAGTTTCAGAGAGGTTTTTATGGAACTCTACCACAACTGTTGGGACATGGGTGGCACTGTGGTCTAAACCACAAAACCTAAGGCTTGCTGATAAGAAGGTCGACGGTTCGAATCCCCACGACGGGGTGAGCTCCCGTTGCTTTGTCCCAGCTCCTACCAACCTAGCAGTTTGAAAGCACGTCAAAGTCCAAGTAGATAAATAGGTCCCACTCCAGCGGGAAGGTAAATGGCTGCTCTGGTTCGCCAGAAGCGGCTTAGACATGCTGGCCACATGACCCAGAAGCTGTATGCCAGCTCCCTTGGGTAGTAAAGTGAGATGAGCGCTGCAACCCCAGACCTCCATGACTGGACCTAACGGTCAGGGGTCCCTTTACCTTTATCTTTTTACCACAACTGTTAGATGATATCTGGCTGCAGAAAGAAGGAGTAGGTCAGTGTCATTGTAGCAGCACCCCTTTTCCTCCTGGCAAGAACACCAGCAAGAGAAACATCGGCATGGCCATGTCCATATTTGAATGTGCTAGAAACTAAGCTATTTGATTAGCCATTCCCAAACCAATCTCCCTCCTTTGCTCTTCCCTTGTGAGTCTAATCTTTCAGTTTGTTAGCCTACGGGCAGAGTCTGTGTCTCCATGTTGAGTTACACACAGTGCCAGGATACTGTAGGCACTCTAGAAATATGAAATAACAAGAAAATAAATTTTACGGGTTTATTAGAGTTCTTACATTTATATATATGTATATATATATATATATATATACACACACACACACATACATACACATACATACTTGCTATAATTTCTCTTGCACATGACAAGCTTGTCAAATTTCGCTTTCTGGGTTTTGGTATTTTGGTTTTTTATGATCCTTAATAAACTATGCCACTTTGAGACTTTAAAAACAAAAACAAAATGGAAAATAGTTAATAAGTTTTATAAACAAATGTGTGGCCTTTGGTAGCGGTGGTTGGGCAGCAGGAAAAACAATTTACGGGTGATGAAATTTGATGACATTATGGATAGATGAACTTTCTTGTTTATGTAAAACTGGAGCTCATTGACTCCAGGCACCATCAAATAAATAGCAAATAATCCAGTTTTGTGATTGAATTCCTGGGTACAAAGAAAATAGTCAAAGGTGTGTCCAATCATAGCATGCAGCCTTTGTGGCAATGGATACCCCTGAGCAGACGTTCAGATTCTCACTGCACCTCATCCTTTATACTGTATAACTATACTCTCTCTCTCTCACACACACACTGATATCTTGTTCTAATGTATTGATTTACTATTTCATGAGGACAGGGATGCTGGAGATTTCTATTTCCTCTCATCTCATTTGTTCATTTCCCCAGAGGCTTCCTGAGGCAGTTCAATAGCAAATAACATAACAATACAGATTAATATACCACAAGCAGCCTGTTAAAAATAATAATATGCTAAACCAATTTAACAGGGCTGCTTTGGCAATGGTTTCCAGTTGATTTTAATAACTTTTTTTATGGGGGTGGGGGAAGAGAGAGAGCGAAAACTATTATAAGGAGTAATGAGTTCCTTTGAAATGAGTCAACTGGGCCAAGGAAGAACAAGGAAACAATAATAATAAAGACTGTTCAAGCCTTGTAAGCTCTGATGAAACAAAAGCTCTACACGGTTGTACCAACCTCGGTCACTGATAGCTTCTTCTTTTTCACCTGTTTTCAAAGAGAAAAGAAATGCTAACATTCTGAATTAGTCTTCAGAAGTCCAATACTGCTCTGGGGGCATAGGATTGGGCTTAAAGTTCCACCTACATTTCGGAGTAAACTACCCACTTTAACTGCTCCTG